TTAGTCTGGAGAATTCAAATTGTTATGTTTATGTGCAGTCAGATAACTCAGTGCACCAGATTTTATTCAAATTTAACTCGCAAAAGGCTTATTTGCCGGAGGTGCCAGCAGCCTAGCTGGCAGATAAACCATACAGAAGTAATGCTGCTAATCCAGTGTAGTGGAGAGGAATACAAAATGTAACAAAGGGAGATAATGAGTCAGTTAATATTCCAAAATGGGCTAGAGATTGAGAACTCATTGGGAGTAGTCCTTTTTTGCGGTTTGTTGTTCTAGTTGGAGAGGATATCTTCATACATGTATATACAGGCAGGTGGAATACCAGCTAAGATACTAAGTAAAATGTTGTTTACCTGTCTTAACATTGATATGAAGCCTGAATGAGTACAAGAACTGTGGTGTAGGAATTTATTTAGGTTTCATTCTCATCTTGTAAAGAACCTGGCCAACTTCTATTTACCATGTACCATATTTGAACATACTCTACATGTATGTACATGTATAAACAGTGATTGAAGATTAATTTTGAATTTACATTTCTGACAATACCTTTGTCCAAGAATCGTTTTCTCCAGAAGACTCATTCACTCGAAAATGACTGAATAATAAGAGATCTGGGTTAACAGCAGACAGATGAATGGTGACTCTGTCCGTCCACATGATGATTGCGGTTGATTGTGTCTGTTGTATCCAAGGGGAAGTGGTTCCCCGTGACATGAATTAATGAGATAACTCGCTAGAAAAAATCTCCGGGGGGATCCAGACTGGACTTTCATGCGTCCTCCAGGCATTTTGCTCCCCCCCTTCGTCATCTCCTCTCTCTTCTGTCTCACCGTTTTTCTGCTCCATGGGTACAGTTCTACATTGTAGCTGCACGCATACACTGCAGGTTTCCAAAGGCCCGACCGCCAACACCAGCTGATGACGTCTTTGGCTAATAATGAGTATCAGGTCTGCCCAGCTGAGGCGGACTGTGTAGAGGTTCTCCTCCAAAAGCCGTTGGAATGAGAAACTATTAATATTGGCAGGAGGACCTCGGGTCATAAACGGCATTTTCACCCGTGATCAGAGTGACTCTGTCTGGTGGATCAGTGGTAGCTCCTTTTTACACTTTGCAGTTGTGTAACAGCCAGGGAAATTGTTTCTGTAGCTCAAAAGAATCAAAAGTGGAGCCTCCTTTTCAGTCTTTGACTCAGGGATTGGGTCACTTTTACAATTTGGGGACAGCTGGTGAAAAGACTGGAGTGTAGATCTGTTTTTGTTTTCAACCAAAGTGAGGTTTAGGCACTCCGACCCTCCCCCAGCATGCAAGTTGGGGCATTGACTTCATATGATGAACCTCAAAGAGTACTTGTAAACATTTCCCCTAGAATTGAGTCTCAGCTTTGCTTTTTTGTGAAGGGGCTCCATGCCTGTGTCAAAAGGATGCGATTGAGCAAGTTAGTACATTAACTAAAAAATACACAGAATGGGACAGAGCTTCTTAACAGTCCATCATAAGTCCCTGTAAATCCATCACAAGTCCATCACAAGTCCCTGTAAATCCATCACAAGTCCATCACAAGTCAGTTTGTCTTAAGCCAGTTCACAAGCTATTCAAAAGACTAACAAAAGCAATCTTTTGGCATTGTTCACCCTGTTACTTATAACTGACCTTGTGAAAGGACTTAAAACTGGCCTTGTGAAGGGACTTAAAACTGGCCTTGTGTAGGGAATTGTAACTGGCCTTGTGTAGGGAATTGTAACTGGCCCTGTGAAAGGACTTGTACATGTAACTGGAC